GGGGGGGGGGAGCTGCTTCTTGCATTATGACATGTGTTTTTTGTAGTCTAAGTGACAGTCCAAACTCTTTACAAGGGTGTGATAGACGATTAACTAACTGCCATCATGGGCGCCCGCAAAGGGGGTGGGGGGGGGCAATGATTGATTGGATACAAACATTTTAGACAAAAATATACAAAAAAATTATTAAAGTAAAGAGAAAATAAAGAGAAAGTAACTAAGCTGATGTCCTGTCCGTTCGCTCACCATACAAATACGCTATAGTAAATTAAAACTTCATTAAAACATTACTAAAAAATTTTGCCCCCCCCCCTCGATTGTTAATCGATTTTTTTTACACCACACAAATACGCTATAGTAAATTAAAACTTCATTAAAACATTACTAAAAAATTTTGCCCCCCCCCCCTCGATTGTTAATCGATTTTTTTTTGCCCCCCCCCCTCTAGAAAGTTTTCTGCGGGCGCCATATATATAATTATTAGGCCTAGATAATTTTTTACTGACTACAAAATTTAGTATAATTTCAATTTCAAATTGTCAGTTTTAATAGTTAAAATATTAGCTCTGAAGATACGTCATTGGGCCTAAAATAAAAAAAAAAAAAAAGATACGGTCAATTCGGGTGGCCGCCAAAAGTCAGAGAGAGATGGTTAAAATTATTGGACAAAGAGAAAATGCTGATATTTTAAGCGCTGAACGGTTAGACTGGATAAGGATTACGCCAGCCGGTTTCATAATATAAAATAATACGCCAATGATACATTAACCAGTTGCTGCGCACTATTGCAAAAGAGGGACATTTGGCTCATCAGTGTGAAGATTTGATATTGAAATCTTCCACTACTGAGCAATCTCTTAGGTTGAAACCAGTGTTTCTCAACCTTTCTAATGCCACGACCCTTTAACACAGTGCCTCATGTCGTGGCGACCACTAACAACAATTTTTTTTATCGTTCCTGCTTCATAGGTGTTGGGTATATGAATATGTGTTTTCCGATGGTCTTAGGCGACCCCTCTGAAAGGGTCATTCGAACCCCTGAAGGGGTCGCGACCCAAAGGTTGAGAATCGCTGGTTTAAACCTATGTATCTTTCATTTCTTACTTTCAATGTACATGTAATATACATCAAATTAAACAGAAAAAGGTTGTCTGCAAGAATATGCCTTAGAAAATTATAATATGATATATTGTATGTGGTGTATTCAAGGTCAAAGTGAATATTGATATATCTTCCCCCCCCTCCCACACGCCTGAAACGCCACCTCCCGGGTCCCTGGATTAAATTTTCTGAAAGAAATAATGATAATCACAAATTTTCGTGCAGGGGTTCACCCTTTTCAAGACTCCTCCAAATCAGGGTTTCTTTGAGGCATTTCTTTCCCCGGGGAAAGTCAAGTGCCCCCCACCCCCCGGAGCAAAATGGGTAAAAACAATAAAATGATTATATATTTTTAAAATTAAAAACGACTAAATTGTGACTGGTGATTTTATCCGATTTTAAATAATGGAATCTATTAAATATCGCAAGCTCGATATATTTGATGATCCGTATATTTACGGCTAATTTTGTTAAAGGCTTACAGTATTCGATTAAAAATATCGTATGGCCGCTTCCAATTATGAAGCCGAAGCCTTACTTCGCGTTGTTCACAAATATCGATATTTTTTTATCAATTTATTATTGTGTAAATTCACAAAATTTAAGACTTTAATAACTCTGTATTAAACTACCTTCACATCAAGAGAAAGGACTACAATTCTAATAATGGTTCTTGCCAAGTATCAAACATACGCAATCTGTGTTCAAATTATATTTGCAAATAAAAGCATTTACTTTTAAAATAGGGATAGGTGTTAATTATAAATTGTATTAGCCTTTAAAAAAATATTTTTTACTAGCATAATTACAAATGTACTCGATTCCATGAATGTTGAGTTATATAAAATGGAAACTTTAAAAATTGAGATTTAAAAAAAAAAAAAAAAATGTAACGGGTGCATAGGCAACAAATCGGTCTAGTGCACATTTCATTAATTATTATATCGACAATTGTGATGGAAAGCTTGCTTTTGAAAAAAAAAAAAAAAATCATATACTAACAATGTAGATAACCCCAAAAGAGGTTTCAATAAAAAATGAAAGCCACGTTACTATTTAGAAATATAAGAACTCTATTTGCATAACACAACTGCGTCAAGCAGAGTTGTCACTCGCCTTTTCGATGTCCCTTTTTTAGTTTTGTCCTCCCCCACCTTGCATTGACATATGATAAGCAAGGAAATATCCTCATCACATCTTTAAGTGAAGCCCTAAAATATCCGAGACCCAATGCATTCATAGGGATTGCTGAGCTCACACGATGTTTCTAAGGTTAAGTTACACCTATTATATTTTTTTTAAAACTAGCATCTCTTCCGTTGTTCTCCAAATGTAGAATGTAAAAAAAAAAACAACTAAATTAAAGTATTTGCCAAAATGCATTTCTTTATTCTGAATTTATCAAACATTTTCTGGGGACTATAAAGATTTAATGGACGATGTTAAGCTAATGGACAAGGCATATCCTCAAGGGCGCCAGAACTGGAATGAATTTAGTTCATGTCCCGCTGGTGCGGCGTTCAGGTTCTCTTGGATCATTACTATGGCAAATTGTGGCGCTTACCACGCGAACGTTTGAAATGCCACCTCAAAATTGTCTGAAAGAAGGACAAAGTTCAAGCCATCCCCAAAATGCACTCCTGCATTTTGAATTTGTGCGACTGTCTTCACCACCCTCAATTTCTACAACCCTTCCCACCCCCCCCCCCTTTTCGCTGATAAATGTTACAGTACATAGGTTTGAGTATAAGCTTGTGCGAAATGATTACCCTGGGGCACACCACAATTTTACCCCGTCTGGGGCATAGGGCATCCAAAAGAATTTTCCATTCTTATCGACTCTGTGCTTTCCTCTCTAATTGCTTCCAGATGTATCCCATACTTTGTGTGTCTGCCTCTAGCTCCATGTATTTTTAGCATTTCGTCTTTTTTCTTTTCCCCTGTGGATTTCATGTTATGGATTGTCTTGTGATGTTATCTGGGGGTTTACAGAGAGTGTGCCTTATCCACCTCTATTATTTCCTTATGATGTCTTCAGCTCCTGGTATGTCCTTTCTAGTAAGTCTTTGTTGGTGATGGTGTTTGACCATTTGATGCTCAGGATCTTTCTAAGGCAAAGTGTTTATGAAGGTCTGTACTTTCTGCGTAATGCTCGCTGTTGTTCTCCAAGTTTTGGCTCCATAGAGTAGGACTGTTTTGACCTTTGTGTTCAAAATTCTGACTTCAATTTGAATAGTCAGCTCCTTTAACTCCGATATTTTCTTTAATACCACAAATGCTGACATAGCCTTTCTAATTCTAGCCCTGACATCCGCTTCGGATCCACCTTTTAAGTTAATGTTTCTGCCTATATAAAAGCGTCCACTTCTTCCAGTGCATATCCTAACAGGCTGAGTCTACCCTTATGATCTCTGTCTTGCTTTTATTTATATAAATCACAGCAAGATTCATAAACGCCCTCGATTTCGACCCTACACCCCGATGAAAATGATCGCTAATTTTGGTGAAGATTTATACAGTTCCTAGAGGCATAGCTAATATTAGCGTCACAGTGCTGGCCAAAAGGGTTTTTCGCTCTCCCTTTCACGATAGAAACTGTGTAGTTGTCTGAAAAATGACGCACCTCCATATAAAGAAAAGGTCAGATCCGGGTGAAAAACCTTATCCTCGTCCTTTCTACGCCACTGGATGGGGCGTAGCTAGAGTGTTGGCGTCAGGGAATGTGATTTATTTTTACGCCCCCCCCCCCACCTTTAAATCTA